CTGACAAAGCTAGCTAGCTTCTTGGCAATTGTACGTACATCGACTTCAAGTTAACTCACTGGATATTAAGAAGACTCTGAACTGGAAATAAGATTTTATGTTGTTAGTGAAATTTTTGTTTATAAAACTTTGTTTGTGGTGACTATTCGTAATAATTGTTGTTGTAAATTGTACTGTTGTATATATATATATATATTAAAATGTATTTATGTGAAAAACGAAAACAGTGTGTATCAATCTTGTTGGCAAATAGCATAAATTAACTAAACTATTGGCTTCGGACTATTTCAAATTCGCAATACGTAACAAACCTGTATGTGATGGAGAAAAATGGATATCATTTTCGGATTCAGCATACAGGAATTACTGTAGAATACAATAACACCATCACAGGCCTGTGCAATCAGAAGAACGAATTTTAAGAGTTATATAAACAAAGGCATAGAAAGCCAAAATGTTGTATGAAAAAAAGATAAGAAAATTTACTGCATGGTGGGTTTATGACACAGAATGGTTTCCAGTAAAAGTAGTTGAGAAATTTATAATTTCTTCTCTAATGAGGAGGGCATCGAAGAAAGGTAACTGCATGAAGAATTCACATTCAAAAGTGAGACTAGTTTCAGTATAGCAAAAGTATACATATTGAAGAAAGTTTATTATGATATCATTGTTGCCCTGCCCCACACAATTAATGTATCATCTACATATCTAATCCATATATTTGATTTCAGAATAGCATTACTGAATAGTTTACTTATCAATATTTTATACAAAAGAGATGACAAAGCTGAGCCCATGGCTATATCAGATTTTTGTTTGTAATATTTACTGTTAACTTTAAAGAAAATAGGTGGCATACAAACACTACTTAAGTTAATGATACCCTTAATTTCAACCAGGGTGAAATGTTCATTACAAGACATTAATGAAAAACATTTGATGACCTCATCAATGGGAACTTTTTTAAAAAAGAAATGATGTTAAAAAACTAATTTATCCATTGGATCTAATTTTATTAATAAAGTCCACAAAATTTTTCATACCGTCTCTTGACATAATACTTGTATTAAAATCCTCTACTGCACAAAGAAAAAAAACTCTCTCAACATGACCACTTTGTACTCTTTAAAGTCTTTATAGATTTAATACTTCTTAACTTTCAACACAGTGTGTATATCTTCACAAAATTTGGCAGTCTTTCACTTAATATTATAAGTCACATACAAAAAATCATATTTTTTAGTGAAGTATTTTTAATAAAATAAATAAATAAATAGTCCGTGTGCAAAGTAATTTTCATGTTAAAATTAATAATATTTTTCCTCATCTCAAATTTCCTTTGTGTGATCCTTAAAACCTCCTAAATGCATTTCAAACGTTTTTTTTCAGTAAAACCTTATCTGTTATTTTCTCTACCCTATCTCAAAATGGGATTGGTCAATTTGACCGACCTCATAACCAACAAGAAAAAAAAAAATCAAAATAAATCTAAATTACTTTTTTTTTTCTTTCTAATAGGACTTTAAACTGTAACAGGAAACTACAATCATTTATTGTAAGTAGCTATAGGTTCGTAACAGTATACATCTAGTTATTGTTCAATTTTATTGTTTTATTGTCCTTTGAACAGTGTCTAACTACTATTTGTGTAATTATAAGTTGTAAATCAATCAGGGAATGTGTAGCTCACATTATGCTAATGAATTACATTACTGACGAGATGCTCACATGTGTGACTTGTGAAACATTTTTATTATAATATTATTATTATTAGTACTTATTTTACCTAATCTAATCTTAACTAACCTAAAAGGATCCCTATTTTTACATCTTAGTTACTTTTATAATTATACATAAAGAATAAACATGAAAAAAACAAGAAATAAAATACTTAACCAATCTTCTTTTTTCTACTATAGATAGTAATGCACTTAATAATTTTTATTTAATTAAATAATGCACCAAAGAAAATAGAATAATAACATGCAAAAAAGTAGACAAATTCACTTACTTCTCAAAATTTTCCTGGCTTTCTAGCTATACGACAAGAGCCATTATAAATTCATCAAAGCTAGTCATTAACTTTCCCATGAAAATGATGTTGGTACTCGACTGAAATTGACATCTAACTGTTCATAACGTTATACAATACGTCATTTCATAGATGAAAACCTTGACTTTCTATTGGTTATAGGTAATATATAATAAAACATATGAGTGAACTATTAACGAATTCTGAAAGAGAGGATTTGACAAGTAGGCATTGCAGGAGTGGTCTGATTTTCTATTCGATAGCTGTAGCCAAACAAAATTAAAGGCTATAAAAATTATGGTTTGTCTGAGCAATAATGATTTTACAGAGAGTAATCTACATTCAATTTCATACTTTTTAAAGGGGTGGTGGATAAAATAGGGATGATGATATGGTAAAAGAAAATGTGTCACATGAGTCACACCAGTGAGAATTCAGGATTTTTCAAAATATTGCCTTGTAGAATTAAGAACTTAAAACTTATATACTATTAAAATATGGATTATTAGCTAAGAATTTATACTATTCTAATTGGTATAACATAAACAAAACGTAGTTTAATAAAATTTTGAAGGTAAGACGTTAAAACCTTGTGTCATGCACAGTAAAAGATTAATGTTCGAATCAGTGATTGATAATCAGATAATTCTAATGTTAGTACATCCCTAGTTGTTGTTAAAATTATCATAGAAAAGTATACAGAAGTTTAGAGTATTTAACTATAATTTAAAACATGGATTTTATATATTTTAATTAAATTAAAATTAATCTACTTACAGTATTAGAAACTTCTATACTTTAATGATTATTTTCTTAATGGATAATTATACAAATATATTTTAACTCCAGAAGTATATTACTGGTAAGTAGAGACATGTACCACACTTTAATAATATAAAACTTTAAAAAAAAACATTTAACTTCTGAATACAGTATGCATATAAAGAATACAATTATATGAATATAGCTGAATGAGGAAGAATGACAACATTTAAACCAAAAATATATACTCAGTTTAATCATGCAAAATCTACATTTAAAAAATGTTGGTAATACTGAAACAAGGAAATTTACTGCTTTGAGAAATTATTGAAAGAGTACAAGTATCAGAGCAAAATAAATCCCATCAAAAGTTAAAAGCTCTGTTACCATATACATACAGATTTTACACAAGCAGATATACATTTTTCACCCCAGTATAGTCAATAAATTCATACTAAAAACATTATACCTTCAAAAGTCTAAAGAAATAAAAAAACTTTAATAATAGTTGAAAAACAAGACAATTTAAAAGTTCCTAACACCAAGTATTTAATATTATAATAAGATATTTTAGTTTGTTACACAGATAAATTCTGGATAAATAGCCATAAGACATTAATAAAAAAAGTATTATTTTTCTAATAAAGGGTTCCATAAAAAGAATATGTTCATTGTTCATATCAATCATAATGGTATTTTTAATATAAAAAAAGAAAAATAATTATGTATTTATGTAGTTTAAGGTTCTCTTTTAGCCTCAATTTAGACTTTAGAAATATTGCAAATATCAATACATTCTGTAGTCTTTCCTAGCACAAAATATATTTTTTCATATAACTAGATAAGTTAGGTTAATTACAAAGGGTTCCAAAGTAATGTGATATAGATTTGATTACCTGTAATAGCTTGGAGATGTTGTCTCCCATAAAGATGTTCTTTTTTGTTGTGCAGTGACACAAAAAACTGATCACATACTTTACAATACAGCTCATTGGTATCTTCTTCCTACAACAAACAAGCACAAAAAATTATTACTATGAGTATGTACATATATAAATACATTCTAAGTACAAATAAAATAATGCATACATTCAGTTAATCATTCATAAAAAATTTGGAAACCTACATCTTAATCCATCCAAAAACACTTGAAATAAAAAAAAAAAGTCAAAATTCTGCTGTAGCTCAAACAGGTGATACCTCATACACACACACAGCAAAATAAAGCAATTTGACATTATTCATATTACATTATTTTATTCATGTGCTGTTAAACTGAAGTTGTATTTAGCTTAGCTCCTGATTCACTACATAAATTTTGTTCAGTGTAACTTAGTAATGATTCTTAAATTAATTAAGAGCAAATCTGAAAATAAATTCAGTTGAAGCACAATTTTGGTTTTTTCTTTCACTCAAGCATTTGTAGATGGATTTCATGTTTGTTTGTGTCACATCAACCCAAGTCACTTATACCTTTAAATGGAAGCAACTCGTACAGGGAAGCAATTTGCAGATCAGGATATGGCTAATATTACACACATTATCAAGTATATTTCATGGGATTTGAAAGTTTCTTATTGCAAAGAATGACAATGTGTGAGAAAGAGCAGCAGTGACTCCAGATGAAACTTATTCTGAGCTATGCAAGATGAATTCTAAGAATGAGATTCTCTAGATGAAGAAGAGGAGGATTTTGTATTTTTTTTATTTATGAATGTTCTTTCTTATTCCCCATTGATGTGGTATGCTTTCAAAAATAAATATTTCTTTACAGCTAAAAAGAAGTAGGTAACTGTTTCGGCTAAGTATAAGCAGACTGAATTTATTGCTTCATGCTGCTGATGGTAGGATTAGTAACTATTGTAATTTCTAAGAGATAAAGTGGTCGCAAAGTGCTTATATTGCAAGTGCTCAGTCCAACATTCACTTTGCATTCATCATTTTTTCGAGTTCCTTTTTCTTAGTTGCAAATAAGACAAAATTCAATTCATTTTAAAACAAGTTTTACATTTTTGACAATCAGTCTTTTCAAAAGTGTGCACATTGAACTTCTTCAGATTCATACCACCAACAAAAGAGAATACTTGCACTATTTTGTTTTTTATTGGTGGAAAATGATATAGGTACTGAAATTTTCTGGAAAAATTTACGTGGATCTAAATTCAAAAATAGGCAAAGCTTGTGAATTTTGCAGACATGTTCTATTGATGTATAGTGTTCAGAATAAAACAAAACATTCACCATTCGTAATTCTGGAGAAAATTAATAAGCATGCATTATGAGTAAACTCTGTAAAGAGAAAAAAACTACAGCAGTTTTGTTTTTCTTTTCTCTTTTATTTTGGCTACAATATTGCCAAAAGAAGTTCATATGGAAAGCATTTTGTCTGAACATTATGTTCTCAAAAAGGGTTAACATGCACACAAACAAACCAAAAAAAAAAAGATTAAGAACCCTGTAAATAAGTTTCGCTTCCCAAAGGGTTATTGAAATAAAAAAATTGAAAAATAGTATTGTAAACAATTATAAATTATATGGAGTTACTCATCTGTCAGTGTGATTAAAATTCTTCACAAAAAACATTTCAAAAAGTGCTTGTATAATAATTCTAAATGGAAAAAATACATCTGCAATAAAGCCAACACAGAATGAATATATATATTGACCCATTGGAATGTTTATGCTGAAGTCAGTCAGAGGCCAGAAGTCTTCTTCCCATAATTAAACCAACTGTCCTATGGACAAGTAACTTTGGAGTGTGAAATGAAGTAGCACCCTTTCCCTTGTCTAAGATTTTAAGTTTGGCTTATATAGTTAGTTAAATGTGTGGTATTCTCAAGTTTCCCTGACTTCCCTCAAAGTAGCTTGCATGAACCATAAAAACAGGAGGGTTGTAAACAATTACAATCTTTATTGAAATAATCACACAATCAATAACCAAGTTAAATACTTGAATAAGTGCTTGCAATCGGCTGGAGAGAGAGAGATATTTATTTACTCTCCCTCATCGATGCCGGGAGTTTTTATACAAAAGAAGGAGGGTTGTAAACAATTACAATCTTTATTGAAATAATCACACAATCAATGACCAAGTTAAATACTTGAATAAGTGCTTGCAATCGGTTGGAGAGAGAGAGAGAGAGATATTTATTTACTCTCCCTCATCAGTGCCTCTAATTTTATTATGCTAGAGCATTCATTTCCAAATCAGTGATAATAAGTTTAGTGGGAAAACAATCATATGTAGCAAAAAACCTGAATGGACTAGCTAAAATAAATATTCATATAGATGGGGTTGCACAGATGTGAGATGTCTCAAATTGGGTTGGCACCAAAAAAGTGTGGGAACTGCTACTCTAGAGTTCAAATGATAAGTCTAAAGAAAGGTATGCCTTAAACAAGGATATTATAATGCAATCTATCTTAAGAGGCAATATCTACTGGAAGTCAAACAAAAAGGTCAGACAGTTAATTTATAAATAAAAGAAAACATTATAATATATATAAAGTTCTCTACCCAGGTGCATACAATATCCATGTGACAGAGGAGATTTTATACCCCAAGGGCAATCACATGATTCACCACAAGAACAGACCACCATTTTTGTTCATAGTATTATTCATGCTACAGTGATCTCTTCAAATTTAAGAAACAAGCAATGACACTAGAGACTTATGCAATCCAATGAATTAACCAAGATGTTAGAAACTTAGTAATGCCTTTTACCAATGTTCTGTACTAAGAATAAACATGATTCACCACAAGAACAGACCACCATTTTTGTTCACAGTATTATTCATGCTACAGTGATCTACTCAAATTTAAGAAACAAGCAATGACCCTAGAGACTCATGCAATCCAATGAATTAACCAAGATGTTAGAAACTTAGTAATGTCTTTTACCAATGTTCTGTACTAAGAATAAACGTCGAAACACGCTGAGGATTTGAAAAATTATCTAATTTTATTTTTAACGTATGCTAATATGCCTGGCATCAAAATGTAGTTTATAATTCAACTTTGTATATTATCCACGTTTCAATAAATTCTCAATCTTTGCTTATCTGTATCATATGATGCTCTTGCACTCTGAATTTCCCATTTAACATTTCCTTTTTACTGTTTAATGGGTATCAATCCCAACTAATTACAAAATCATATGATAGATATTGATAAAGCAAAACATAAAGTTAAGATTCTTAATCTTCTTGCTTTACTGATATATGAAAAAATGTCTAACACACATAACATACTTTCACAATTTCATTCTGTCTTTTAAAAAATATCAAAAATTCTTTATGACATTTCTATTGTATTATTTAAGACCAATGAAAGAAAAGCAGCTTTTTTTAGAAGACTTTTTATAAGGATTATGTTGTTGTGTTGCTTGTAAGTAGACATTTGGCATCAATTTCATTACAATAGTGTTGTTCATTTTGAAGCTTATAACAGAAATTTTTTATGTAAAAAGTCACTTAAACTATAGTAGTTGTAAGACATTTTATTCTATTTTTGTGTTCCATAAAGCATATTTGAAATAAACATGAATTATTTTGTGGACAAAAAAGCATCATCACAAAGATTTAGAGTGCCTCATTCTCTATGACAAAAAGTCTGAGTCCAGGCATAATATATTTCTTATTTTTTTATGTATATTTATTCATTGTAATAGAATAAAAGACAAAATTAGAAACTTATTAGGTTAGATAATAAAATATAAAACAAAAAAAAATCTTATGGTACTTGATATCCTACGCTTAAACAATCACACACACACGTAGCATAATGTGATTTGTAACTAGATTGTTTGTTTACATTAGGCTGTCCAAGCTTAGGGACAGCTGTGGCAGCTGCTACTTTGGGCTTTTTTACTTCTTGTGGTGGATACTGCTCTAGAAAGGGAGAGAATGTCTCTCCTTCCCAAGTGGTGCCACACTGTTTTACTTGGCTTCTCATGCAATCTGTGGAGGTCATTGAGAAGTACGCTTGTCCACATTGTTATTCAACCTTTCAGAGGGACACCTCCTTTGAGCTTTGAACTCAGCTTAATTAACAGCTAGATCTTCCACTGAATCAAAGTATTGGTGCAACTCTGCCATGACCTTGTTTCAGTCTTGAAGATGTGTCTGCTTCACAGTCCTTACAGCTTCCCAACTTCGAACTCATAGCTTATGCTAGGAAGAACTGCCTTGGTTACTGTGGTACAGCATGGCAGGCTGGTGAAGGAGTTTATGCATTTGGATGAATACTAGATTTCTGTTTCTAGGCTGTGGAATGGCGAGGTACCTACAGGATCTCATCAAATGGTTGTTTTGACAATAGACCTCTCTGCTTGAAAAGATTCAAAACGACACTAAAGATTACAAACTGCACCTTTTTGTACTTGCCATTGGACCTGCTAGTAAAACAGCTCCTGTTTTTGAGCTTAGACTAATGGCTTCCCTAGTCTCTCCTAATCAATCAGTGATTGGACTGACCAGATCCAGGATGGCTTTAAATCCCCAATCAGTCTCAGAAACACTAAACTGTGATCCATCATGATGATCCTTATTTTACTGAGTCTCCTGAATACTGAAGTTAAACATCAGAGAAAAACAACTTTACAAACTCTCCAGACAGTGACAGTCCTCTTTCCCTGGGCTGCAAGGATATGTTCATCAGAGACTTTTGCTGCATCAGCAAAAGTCAGATGTCCAGGAGACGACTTCACCCAATTGGTCTAACTGACAACCACCCACATCCAGCAGCTCTCTCGACTAAGACATCCTGTGGACAATGCCACTTCCTGGCAAAATTTCATTCAATGGTACAAGAGCCTGAAGAGTATTTAAAACAAAATACTTGTCCAGAAAAATAGCCCTCCACATTAACAGTATTCATGATCAAAGCACCAAAATTTCTTCTTTCTTGAAAGGAAAGCACTGGTCAAATAAAATGGATATATAAACTCTCAAAGTAAAACTTTTTTTCTTCTTCAAAAATTAATGTCACTAAAGAAATAAAC